AATTTATGATCAGATCATCCTGAGAGGTTACTTTCCATAGAGCCCCTTTTTTTCACCCAGAGAATCACAAGAATCATCATCATGAAGAAATTATAGTTTTTAAAAATCTGGGCCGGCCAAGTGGCACGCTGGTTAAGAGCTGGCTTGGGATGCCAGCTCTTGAGCAGCAGGACCCCGGTTCGGATCCCACATGAGGGCCAGTGACACTGCCCTCTACAGCTAAAATGGTGAACAACAGCTCAACCTGGAACTGGGCTGCCGTGAGTCGCCGGCGACGGCGTAGGCTGCAGCCCCTGCTGCAGTGGGCTGCCAAAAGCTACCGTGAGTAGCCAGCAGCCAGCGTGAGTGGCCAGCAGCCACAGTGAGCGGCTGTCCAGAGGCCGGCAACCGATCTGCCTCATCCAGGAAGAGCGCAATGATAACACCAACATGGGCCAGTGACGCAAAGTCCTCCACAACTACACTGAAGAACAAAAGGACAGCAACTCGTCTGTTTCCCTTCCCTGATTCCCAACGCTGTTCCCCTCCCCCAATTCCCCAATAAAATCTTTAAAAAAAAAAAAACTTATAAAATTCCTTGGGACGTCAAATATTCTCACTTTACTCAACAGAACTAATGATGTCAACTAGTATTCATTCACATATCTTCTTGTCTCAAACAAGTAAATTGCATTTCTAAGACCCTAAAAAGACTCTAAGGAGATGTATTTCAAAGGGTTTTTCTTTAACACAGGCATGATACAGAGATGACCATGGTGGTGGTGGTGGTGGTGGTGGTAGGATCAAATTAAGATAGTTAGAGGCCCCAAGCACAGAAAATATAATAGTATAATCCTCTATACCGCCTAGTAAATACTGAACAAATTAGTCCAATAAAAATCTTATTTCTTTTCTGATTACTAATTTTTTTTTAAATCCTTTTAAGTGCTTTCAATTTTTTTTTAATTCTTTTTCCTCTGCTTTGCTGGTACCCTAAGGCTTCATTGGATGTGTTTTTTGGGGTAATCAGCACTAAGTTGTGGTAAGAAATAGGAGTAAAAGCAGTTGCAACTTGAGGAGGTGTACTCTGTGTCAGGTATTCTACATGCATTATTGATCATTCTTACCACATCCACAAAAGGGAGATATTATCAAACCTGTTTTGCTGATAAAGAAATGGCTTCACAGAAGCCAGATAAGATGCCCAAGGTCACTCATGCCATAAATAGCAGAGCTGAGTATGTCTCCCAAGTCTGATCCATTAGACATGCTGCCTGTAGGACATTTCTTCAGAACCTGCTCTTGGACAAAATTTCATTTCAGGAAACACAGAAAAATGATTTTTAAATGCATCATTTGAATAGTACTCAAATTTTCCATGGAACCTAATCACAAATAATTCCAGATAATGGCTGTAAATACATATATAGCCAGGATTGCTGCATTACATCTCTCCAGAGTTATTTGGAGTTTTTTTTTTTTTTTATGTGAATGATGTCCTCTGGATTGTGTGATATAACCGGTTCGACTCCCACATGGGATGGTGGGCTATGCCCACCCGCAACTAAGATTGAACACGGCACCTTGAGCTGAGCGGCCGCAAGCTGCCGACAGGTGGCCAGATGGCGACTGCACTTGGGGCTGAGCTAGCTGCGCCCTCCAGAGCTAAGATTGAAGGACAACAACTTGGCTAGTTCCCTTCCCCAATTCCCCAATAAAGTCTTAAAAAAAATAAAAATTAATGCATGGAAACATACAGAAAATATGCCAAATGAAAAAACAATGAATGAAAGAAACAGAAAAGGTTTTTTAAAACTACTAGTTCTAGAAATAGCTATCCTCTGGAGATAATATAATTGCCTCCACTGAGCTGTAGAGATAAAATGTAAAATGCTTAACACAAGATTTACTACACAGTAAATTCTCAACTGATCCTAGTTTCCCTTCCCTTTACCCACTTCTTTCTCCTATGTATGCATTTCTCTTTCCCTGTGTCTACCATTACCTTTTCTTTCCTCCTCCTCTGTAATAACTATAGATTGTTCATGCCTACTTTATATTCCTTCCCTTACCAGAAGTGATGTGTGACATGGAACATTGTCATGATGGAGGATGATTTACAGCACACTTTAAAACACACCTTCTCTCAACTGTAGCTCATACCTGACTGTACTGAACAAGTTGAAACTTGTCACATACTGTTACAAAAGTTCGACATGCTGCTTCCCATATTGAAGATCCCTGCCTTTCCACTGAATAGCACTTGACAGCAGCATGCACCATATTTGTTGATCACAACAGGAAAGGTTCAGTGTCACACATCGCTTCTGGTAAGGCAATTTCTGTCAAATAAAAACATTATGGTGTATTCTCATCCACCTTATTCACCGGATCTGGCACGGTGCGACTTCTGGCTCTTCCCCAAAGTCAAAATGACCATGAAAGGTAAATGTTTTGAATCAATTCAGGACATCGAGGCAGCCACGACAGCGCAACTAAAGACACTCACGAAAGAGGACTTCCAAAGCTGCTTCAGAAAGTGGCAAGAGCGATGGGATAAGTGCGTTCGAAGCGAGGAGGAGTGTTTTGGGGGCGTTAATGGCAATATGTCTTTTATTATAATAAATTTTTTTAATTTAAACATTCACTGTATATTTTTATCACACCTTGTATGAGGCTAATGCTGGCATAACACAGCATGCTATTTTACAACAAACTTTTTTATAAGTAGAAAAAGCACACTCTAAAGTAACCAAAAGTACAGTTAATTCATAAACCAGTAACACATTTATTATCAAGAATTAGTACTGTACATAGTCGTATATACTAAATTTTATACGATTGACAGCTCAGTAGGTTTACACCAGTATCACTATAAACATGTAATATGCTATGACTTTATAGCAATTACAACATCACTAGAAGATAGGAAATTTTCAGCTCCAATATAATCTATGGGACTACAATCATATACTCGGTCCATCGTTGACCAAAACATCATTATGCGGTGCATGACTGTATCTTACTGTACTGTACTCATCCTTAGTCTCCTTGTAATGATATGAGATGATACAATGCCTACATGATGAGAAGAATGACGAAGGCATCATGACAGCATTAGACTACTATAAGGGTTACTTGAACACAAGCACTGTGATACCATGACAGACGATCTGATAACCAAGATGGCTACTGAGTGACTAATGGGCAGGTGGTGCATACAGCATGAATAACCTGAACAAAGGAATGAAACATATTTGGGGCAGGATGGGGCAGGACAAAGCAGAACAGAGAGTGATTTCATCACATTACTCAGAAAAGCACACAATTTAAAATTTATGAATTGTTTATTTCTGGAATTTTCCATTAATATTTTCAGGCCACGGTTGATAACAGGTAACTGAAACTGTAGAAAGTGAAATTGTGGAGCCTCCTGGAATAATATCCTGGGCATGTTTTTTCAAGGCTGCCAATGAGAGGCATTCCATGAGAGGCATTTGAAATATGTTTTAAGCAAAAGGAAAAAGAAAGAAAGAAAAAGAAAGAAACTGTAGATAAGGGGGACTACTGTATTCCCATCATTTGGGGAACTGACCCTTCCACACTTTATGTGGTTCTGATGACAATGTCAATGACAATTATCCCATAGTAATCAGTCCAAGGTTGGGTCCTATTTTAAAGGTCTTTCAGAAACTGTTAAATTCTCATTGGTATGAAGTATGCATATCTGCCATGAAAGGAGCCTTCTAACATAAGCAGAAAATAAGACCAACACAAAGAAAAGTAAAGTCAGGAAATAGAGAATATCCTGAAGACATCATTTAAATTCCTGGATCTGGCTGTTCCTACACTGCTCTTCCTCTGCTCTTCCTACTTAAAAAGCCAGTAAGACGCCTTTTTGTTTAAGCCATTTTAGAATTGTTGTTGTTTTCAATGCTTCCCATTTTAAAAGCACAAAACACTTTGTTTCTCTAAGAGAGCAAAAATAGTAAATTATCTCTTTACTTGCTGTGGCCTTCACTAATCTATTTTTAGTTTTAGTGGCTATTAATATAAAGATATTACACAGTCCTACTAGCTGCCCACTGAAGGTTTACATTCCAAGTGTCAGGAACCTTAAAGACAACTGTTAATGTAAATTTTAATCAGATTTTAAGTGTTCAATGCAGGTAGTGCTCACTTTTCACTTTACATTTAATCACTCAACTCACTCCAAGCTAGGTAATAAAGATACGTTGCTTTTTGTCACTCAGGTTTTATATTGTTCATTCACTGTTCTTCATCAATATCTGAAGGTAACGGCATATGCCAATAGGAAAAATACACACATGCAGTAAAGATTAAAGCAAAAGTCTTATGAGTTGATGATAACACATAATAAACTTCTAATAAGTCTTTCTTCAGTGTGTCTGCCTGCAATGCTCCTACTTACTCTTTGATGCTAAACTTAAATGTCAGTACAGCTTCCCCCGTCACACAGAACTGCCTCTGTCTCCTCACCCTTTATCATAGCAATTACCAAATTTTAATTTTTTATGTGTTAATGGTAGTGAGAACCTAAACATCTAGTAACAAAACTGAAACAGAAAAGTACAGAAACACTGAGGAAAACAGAATTTACAGTCTGAAAACTGAATGGATCTGATGGGAAATTGAAAGATGACTCAGAATTCAAGTATGGGAAATGGGAAGGGTGAGCCAAAAATAGAGAAAGATAAGTTAAAGAGAAGAACACATTTTAGGAGAAAGAAAATTGAGATTTAAGCATACTGAACTTGATGGTATGACAAACATGTGGAGTTCTCCAGTCGGAAACTGAAGTAAGGCACTCAGAGTATGGGAGTCAGCTGATAGAGGTATTCACTGAAGCCAAAGGACTAGGTAACAGTACAAGGAAAAGAATCTATATTAAGAAAAATGTTGGAAGCAGGAGAAGCGTCTCCGCCGCTGCCGCCACCGCCACCACCACCCACCATCATCTCCTCAGTCATGCGGAAGCACGAGTTCTCTGTAGACATGACCTGTGAAGGCTGTAGTAACGCGGTCACTCGGGTCCTCAACAAGCTGGGAGGAGTTCAGTTTGAGATCGACCTGCCCAACAAGAAGGTTTTCATCGAGTCTGAGCACAGCGTGGACACTCTGCAGGAGACCCTGAGGAAAACAGGGAAGACCGTTACCTATCTTGGCCCCAGCTAGTGAGGGCCTAGGCCCTCAGCCTGCAGAATGGATCGAAGTGGGCAGGACACCCTTCCTTTCCTGCCTTCCAGACAGATCTGGAACCTGGTAATCCTGTTCCACAATGGAGTTCCTGTGGAGACCCTCACTTGCCCTGCTCCTCCCTAGCTTCCCTGCAATAAAGTCGAGCTGCTTTTGTTGGAAAAAAAAAAAAAGAAAAATGTATAAGGTGTAACTAAGAAACAAGTTGACCTTGTAAACGAAGAGTGGTTAGAATATACACGAGAGCCAGGAGGACTACAAAGTTATAAGGAGAAAGGGTTCACAGTGTCAAATCTGAAGAATTAAAAAGCAAGAATTAAGACTGGAAAAAAAAAACCCATTAGGCAATTCAAAGGTAATTGGTAACAACAGAGAGAACAGCTTTAGTAAAAAAGAAGATAGCAAAGTTGAAAGAATAGATATATTGCTTTTTCCTTTGGGGTGCTATGCAATATACAAAAAGAAAAGGGGGAAAAAAACAACAAGAGAAAAAGAGAAGAAGAAGGAAAGTGTTTGAGGTTTTTGTTTTTGTTTTTTAGGCCATTAAAGATGTTATGGGGGAGATTGAAATAAAAATGATGAAGCAGAGATAAGTAATCACGAAAGCCTAGAAATTACACAATTTAGAGATAAAGAAAAGCTGAAGCTTTTGTTTGATGATCTTAATCTTACTCTTTTCAAAAAAAAAAATGTAAGCGAAATAACCTACAAAGTCTAAGAGCAGTAAAGATGTTCTGTCCCAATAAACCTAACATAAGTTGAGAATATCTTTAACTGAAAATGCATTTAAGACACCTAACCTACCAAACATCATAGCTTAGCCTAGCCTATTTTAAACATGCCCAGAACACCTATGAGCCTACAGTTGGGCACTTATCTCAAGTTTCGTCTCAGGAGCAACTGCCTTCCTCTTCTCACCCGAAGCAGGAGGCACAGATGGGCATTTGTAGACATGATCGGATGCAAAAACACAAAACACAATATCAAAAAAATGCTAGCAACATAGTACATTGTAAGGTATCAGTTGTTTACCCTCATGATTGCCATGACTGAGTGGCTGACTGGGAGCTGCCGCTTGCTGCCTCTGTCCAGCATCACAAGAGAGTATGGAACCACGTAATACTAGCCCAGGAAAAGCTTGAAATTCCAAATTTGAAGTATGGTTTCTACTGAATGCTTATTGCTTTCATACCATCATAAAGTCCAAAAATTCTAAGTTGGACCATCGTAAGTCAGGACTGGCTATATACTGGAATCGGGGGCTAGAAGAGGTCTGAAATAGCCCCTGTAGGAAGTCAATTAGAAAAGAATTGCCAATCAATATAAGCAAGTATTCTGGAACACACTTCCTAATTAATTGTTCATCTCATTTTCACTTAACTAGCAGAAGAGCACAAATTCTTTAGTGTATTTGACTTGGTTGTTATTCTTTTTTAAAAACAGCTTTCTATATTATGATCCAAGGTAATGACATTCTGTGTCTTTTCCATTGTTTATTACTCCATTTTTTTTCTTTGCTGTTACAAAGCTTTGCTTAAATATCGAAGCAGTATTTGATTACTCAAGAAATCCTTAATATCTATTTTCTAAAAGACAAGTATTTGAGTATTTGGGGGAACTATATAAAGAATGGGAATTCTAAACCTAGAAATGGCTATATCGTCTGACAGGTGCTCATTTATTATTATGATTAAAAATAAAAATGCCCTGGGAAAATATGATGATTGTCTTTAATATTTTGAAGCTTCAGAAGTTATAGAAATAAATGTCTCTTTTCCTTTATGTACACTGAAATTTTTCCAATTACATAACTCATACTTAGGTACTTTATATGTATTTCAAATTCAGTGTGACATTTAAAAATAAACATGGCATAGCATACATTCAAAAGAATATTGTTATCATAAAAATAGTTACCTTAGAAAGCTCTACACCTAATCCTAGAATGCTGCCATTGAGTAAAAAGCTTTGGGATTCAACTTTTGAAACTCCTTTAAAGTCTTATCACAATCTTTATAAAATGGTCAAAAGTGACAAATTTTCATTCATTAAATATAACTTGAATTTTGGGATATTTCTAGTTATCAAAAGATGATTTATCTAAATTAGAAATACCACTTTTGAACAAAAAGCATGAAACAAATTTTGCATGAAACACATTTTCTTATGCTGCTATAATAACACCATTATTAAAATATATTTATAGCTGCGTTCCCCTCTTCTACAGTGTCTGTTCTGTGGGTTACCACTCATACATTCTAGTATGTTTGATAAAAATAAAAGTTTAATAATTTTACAGCAACACTTTTACTATTATAGGTAATACAAGAAGCTCTGATGGTTTCTAAGAGTCAAATTACTGAATATTTGAAAGTAGTTAAAGCACTCTCATTTTTAAATTTAGCTAGTTGTCATTCAATGCCCTATCTTTTTTCATACTATACTAAAAATGCACATTTACACCTGTGGCATATACCTCATACCAGCCTAGGCAGTCAGTTGTCTATTCCTATTACAAACACACACATATATACACACACACATGTATATATACAGAGGGTACCAAAAAAATGTATACACATTTTAAGAAAGGAAAAAACTGTATTAAAGTTATGCTGATGGTAACCATTTTGAGCACCTTTTGTAGTTGCAGACGTCAAATGTGACTTGTACTCATCTTTTGTTATCAATATATATTGAGTATTACAATTTTAATACAGGTTTTTCCTTTCTTAAAATGTGTATACATTTTTTGGTACCCTCTGTATATATTCATATATACACATTCACACCTATATTTTTAATTCCATATATATATTCATATTCCCTGCCCCACCACCACCACCAAAGTTTGTCACTTGAATGTAATCTGTTGGCTTTGCCTCCAGATGAGCCCTAGGAACAGTCTTTCCAATGGTAGCCACACATTTCCTTGGGTTCTTTTTTGAAAAACAGTCTAATCCCATTCTGCTGCCTTATTAAGCCAAAGTTGGTTCAAACTTAACTAAAATTGTTCCATCCTATTTTCTACTCCCAAAACAAACCAAAAAAAGTAACTAAAAAGCACAGACTTTTCTTATGTTCATAAGAAGCTTCAGCTCTTTTTCATGGCACCTTGGAGGCCGTCGGCTTCTTCAAGATGAAGTTGAGCATCTCTTTCCCAGACACTGGCTGCCAGAAACTCATTGAAGTGGACGATGAACGCAAACTTCGTACATTTTACGAGAAGCGTATGGCCACAGAAGTTGCTGCTGATGCTCTGGGTGAGGAATGGAAGGGTTATGGGGTTTGAATCAGTGGTGGGAACGACAAACAAGGTTTCCCCATGAAGCAGAGTGTCGTGACCCATGGCTGTGTCCGCCTGCTCCTGAGTAAGGGGCGTTCCTGTTACAGACCAAGGAGGACTGGAGAAAGGTAGCGCACATCTGTTCAGGGTTGCATTGTGGATGCCAATCTGAGTGTCCTCAACTTGGTCATTGTATAAAAAGGGGAGAAAGATAGTCCTGGTCTTACTGATACTACTGTGCCTCGTCGCCTGGGGCCCAAAAGAGCTAGCAGAATCCGCAAACTTTTCAATCTCTCTAAAGAAGATGATGTCCGCCAGTATGTTGTGAGAAAGCCCCTAAACAAAGAAGGTCAGAAACCTAGGACCAAAGCACCCAAGATTCAGCGTCTTGTTACTCCACGAGTCCTGCAACACAAACGTCGGCGTATTGCTCTGAAGAAACAGCGTACTAAGAAAAATAAGGAAGAGGCTGCAGAATATGGAAAACTTTTGGCTAAGAGAATGAAGGAGGCCAAAGAAAAACACCAGGAACAGATTGCCAAGAGATGCAGGCTGTCCTCTCTAAGAGCTTCTACCTCTAAGTCTGAGTCCAGTCAAAAATGAGATTTTCTAAGAGTAACAAATAAATTTAAAACCAGACATAAAATAAATAAACAAATAAAAGAAGCTTCAATCACTTTTGAACCTATACCTCTGAGAATTATTCAACTTTGTCTTTATTCTCTTCAAAAATCTTTATTATTAACTCAGCATTTAAGATTATTGCTATTCTCAAAGTTGTGCACATGAACTAAGAAATTCCCAAGAAAAAGCTTAATCAGCCATCTTGATTCTTCGAGACATTCCTAAATTTGTCCACTGCTGAATCATCTATTAGACCATAAGCCTCATTCTTGATTCAGGGGGAAAACAAACAAACAAACAAAAAAAAACGACACAGTGACTACATTTAAGGGGAAGAGTTAAAGTACATTCTAAGAAAAGGTCAGTGAATGCCAACCCAGGATGAAAATTGGAATAGAAGAAAATAAAAATAATTCATTTTATGGAGGAAGAAACAGAGGCCCAGAGGGGTAAGTGGCTTACCCAAGTTGACACAGTTGGTGGCAGAGCCAACACTAGTATATCCAAGTCTCCTGATTCCAAGTTCAAAGTTTTTCTACTTTATTCATTCAAATTACTAAACAGGATCACACTAAATCAAAGGAGCCACACACAAATGACTACATATTATATGATTCCATTAATGTCAAATGTCTAGAAATGGCAAAACTATAAGCAAAAAGCAGATCAGTGGTGGTCTGGAGATGAGGGCAGAAGCAGTGATTAGGCAAACAGGCAAGAGGGAGTTTTTTGGAGGATGACAGTGTTCTATTGTAAAACTGGACTGTGATCATTGTTTACACAACTGTATAAATTTACTAAAAATCCAACTGTGAATTTTATGGTATATAAATTATACTTTAATAAAGCTATTCAAAAAATTACTAAGAAGGAACTCAGATTTTAGCTTTTAGTCTGTAAAGCTCTCAGGAAATTATATGTCAAAACATCACTGGGCCGGCTGAGCGGCACGTTGGTTAAGAGCTGGCTTGGGATGCCAGAGGGCCCCAGTTCAGATCCCACATATGAGGGCCAGTGACAATGC